ACAGCTAGTACTGTACTGTGAATTAACCATAAAATGTAGTTGATGATGATGAAGGTTTATGAGTGACCACCTTGTATAGTCATGAATAAGAACATTTCAAAAGTGTAGATTAGGTTAGGTTAGGTTAGGTTAGCAATGCCACAAATAATATAATCATGAAAATCAAATGCAAAGACATTAAATCCTCTATGTAATAAGAAAGAAAGAATTAACCAGACCAGCTGTCCAACATGTCTGCTCACCTAACAAACCACCTAAAGCAGCAACTGATGGTAGACGGAGGTGATATGCCAGCAATCATTGTACCCACACACAAGGTCAAAGAGAACTGTCCTGGTATATAGACTCAATACACCTCCCTGGACTTAGAAACACTGGTAAATAACATCAACAAACAGTAAAAAGAAGACCCGGTAATAACCTTCAGGTGATGGCAGACAATACTCCCTGGTACATCATAACTGGCTCTTATCATTGGTCTGGTGAGCAAATGAACATAAAAAAAGTGAGACTGACCTGAAGCCATGATAGCCGGTAGTAGCCTCAGTGATCTGGAAGCTGCCTGACTACACTCTGCGCTCATCACATCTCTGACACAATAGGGGTAATAGTTACTGGTGGAGGAAAAGGTGAAGGGTATAGACAGATTAACCCTTTGAGGACGATTACTTAACCCTTTGAGGACGATTACTTAACCCTTTGAGGACGATTACTTAACCCTTTGAGGACGATTACTTAACCCTTTGAGGACGATTACTTAACCCTTTGAGGACGATTACTTAACCCTTTGAGGAGGAGTACTTAACTCTTTGAGGACGATTACTTAACCCTTTGATAATGCTGGTTTAACCCTTCAGGATTCAAAGGGGGTTAATAAACAAGCCATGGTTACATGACATGGGATATACTATAACTAATAGAAACCCTGCAGCAGTCATCTATTACAGGAGGTGCCTGCTGGAGGACTACTCTCAGAAACATAATACATATTCTGCACTAGCAAACTCCTATTTAGCATTTATTACATTACTGTTAGAGAATATGTGTTAATCTTCCACCTTATGATAACATTATTTACTCTGCCTCCAGGGGCTAGACCACAGCACCAAGATCACTTCGTATTTGAAAGAACCAAAATTTGTTGTAACAAGATAAAAATCCATTTCTCTCATTATTAAGAGATTAACTTTATCTACGTTAGTATACCACAACACACCCAAGTTAAATGTGTAATAAGTACGTATATACAGTACAGTACGGTGAGTATGTAGTATAGTATAGTCAATAATGCCTTTATGTTCCTTCACTCCCAACATCATCTAGGAGTCATATTCTTATATAACATTTAATTATTATTCTTTTGGCTAAGTTAAGGTAAGTGAGATGATTCAACTTAACATGATGATAGACAACATAAGGCATTGGTCCATCCTGTGTATCAAAGTTTCCATCAAGATGTTACTGTACAGGTCCTTGTTTCCTGTACTGACCACTACACAGAAAATATTCACTACAGGAGTTTGACTGTAATGATAGTTAAGAAATATTTAACAATTCATTGACAAACTGACGTGCTTGATCTGACATGAGTAGAGTTACCCTAATGGTGACTGTCACAAACTGCCTTAAATATGGTGAACGGATATAATCACAGAAATTTTTTTTTAAATATCACAGAAAAAGAGTCACAATTTTGACTAAGATAAAAATCATGGGAAAAATTACATTTAATTTAAATATCATAAACAATTAAACTAATGAAACAAAAAATATTTAAGTCAGTTATTAATGTACTGTGCATACAGTATGTGATAAAATCCATTTTATTCAATATCTTAAACAAAGTAAATAAGGTAATGAAACAAAATATTTGTTAAAATGAGTCATTTATTGAAAGTTGACATAATATCCAGGCATTACATGTACAGTATATTTAGTGTTTTACTCATTAACACAAATATTCCAGTCAACACCACAAAGAAACTGCCACAGTCTTGTGGTCATCCCGTCGAGCAACACACAAGTTGTGAAGGAGTTGTTGTAGCTGCACGTAGCGTCGACGAGGCGGGTTGCCATCAGCATCCTGCCGGATAATGCCGCTCGCTGTCGCTTCCTCGCGAGGTTCAACGACTCACTGTTCCGCCCTTCACACGTGTCTTTGGTACAAACATTGTCGTTCACGGTGGCGTCGGGCACGTTCCATAGGTGAGGGGCGAACACAGGTGGAACATGATGCATTCTCAAAGGAATCAGGGCATCACTGGGCATGGCTGCTGAATCAGTCAAAAGGAGCCACTAACATAGGTACAATCAAAGTAGTACATGAGCAACTCCTTGGGTCTTGTGGATGACAGTCTTGAGGTGCCTTCATCAATGTCTTTTAGGGGTAAACTGGGCAGCGTCTGTGCATGAGGTTTCACATTTTAAGAATCTTCCTTACAACAGACTTTCACCTCTATATAGTTCATCAGATGGAGGCTTCACATCCAACAGACCCTCGCTATAATGGATCTTCCTCTCCATAGTGTCCATTGTATAGAGGTTCTTCTCTACACAAATCATCTAATACTTGTACCCAAATCATTTCCTCCGGTAGGTTAATGACTGAGGCACAGTTACTTTGACTCAAACAAAAGCTTCACTATTTTTACTTGACTTATATCAGGAAATATACTGTACATGTCTCTTGTACAGGCCATTCATCCCTCCCCCACTAAACCTGAACCCTCAGATTCAGACTAGTGAACCCAAAACATTTATGGAGAAAATAATGTATAAGTCTACTACTACAGGTTCATGAGTCTGAATCTCAGGTTTCATGGGTCAAGGGGGGGGGGGGGAATGGACTCTGGTAGTTGACAGCACAGCACAGCACAGTACAGCACAGCAGTACAGCACAGCAGTACAGTACAGTACAGTACAGTACAGTACAGTACAGTACAGTACAGTACAGTACAGCACAGCACAACATAGTATAGTATAGTGTAGTATAATATAATATAGTATAGTATAGTATAGTATAGTATAGTATAGTATAGTATAGTATAGTATAGTATAGTATAGAGGATTTTCTTTAGTTTGGTACAAACAGATCACTTAAGGAAAACTCTCAGAACCACGGTGTAAAATGTACAGTATACAGGAACTGTATGTATAATAGTGACATATTCTTAATGAATGCAAGACAGGCATTGATGCCTTGTAGAAATCAAAATATATTTTTAAATACAGTATAGTCTGCATTTACGCAGATTTTGTTTACGCGTTTGGTCATTTACGCGGCACCTTGCCAGAATAAAAATTTTGAATTACAGTCAGTTCTGCTATAACGCGATAGTTGTGTTCTTGTAAAACATCGTGTTATAGAAATTCGCGTAATAGAAATAACAGGACTTATTGAGAAAATAGGGTTAGGTGCAGATTACTACTCGAAATCGAAAAAAATTTAGTAGTTAGCCTAACACAAAGGATAGCACAGTCGAAATAAATGTTACATTCATATCTAATAATGAAATCATACAGTAAATGTAACACTTTACCTTGAAAAAATATGAATATAACTTGATGGGGGAGAAGGGTGATTTTGAGGTTGATAACATTGAGCTTCTCTTCAAGGGTTATAGCCTTTCTTTTACGATCATCACCGGGAATACGATCACCAGAACGCTTCTTGGAGATATTCTTCTTCACCATATTCACAATTAATACCACAAAATTGGAGAAATAGTGAGCAAAAATTGCGTTACAGCAAACAAGCGTTCGCGTTATACAAATATCGTTCCTCTATTAATAAATCGTGTTAGAGCCAATTCGCGTTGTCAAAACACGCATTATAGCAGAACTCACTGTACGCGGTTCATTGCATCATTTACGCGGGAAGCGAAGCGGGCAGGGTGCACATCAGGTCGCTCTTACGTTATCGCTGATGTCATATGACGTATCGGACTGTGATTGGGCCACGCATCCTTACCACCCACGCATTCCCTCCGCCGCTCGCTGTGATTGGTCTAACGTAACATGACGTGCCCTGCCACCAGAGGGAAGAAGTCGCTGACCTCGCCGGGCCAGTCTCATTGTTCTCAGTTCGCGTATACAGTTCTCTCTTGTGCCAGCTATTCCCTTCACAATGGCTTCCGCTGGACCCCAACCACCCAAGAAAAACCTTGAATTACCTGGACCAAGCCATGGTTATGTGAAGGTTATCATCAAGCTGGGTGAGAAAATTAAGCTCATCCTTGACAAAGGCACAGTCAAGCATCGGTATGAAGTGTATAATAACTTTCAGTAGAAAATAATGGAGCCGTATGTCCAGGTATATGACGACAACATCAATGCTAGTCGTCAACGTAGTATTACGGACTTCCTCGCCCGCAACCCACCACAGCCACAGCCAGCCCAAGTCAGTGATAGTGACAGTGAGGATATAGACTTTGAGGGGTTTGTCTGGGAGGCCCTGCAAACCTCTGCGAGTAGTGAAAGTGATTCACCGGAGGGCAACTAATCTGCCCTCTGCCTCAGAACCAACTGCCATCCACGTGTGCCGACCCATCTCTTCTACTAACGTAAGTGTTAAACACCTTTATATTTGTAGTTTTTTATTTAGATATTATGTGTGTGTCAATACCATCATAAAATTATGATGTTATTTTTACTACAAGGTACAGTATTGTGTCGGAAAAAGTGGAGTTTGGGGGTCGGCCCAGTCTCTATTTCAATTAATCCCATATGTTCTGTTATTTCGTTTACGCGTTTCTCGTTTTACGCGGACCTCCACGGGTTCAATTGACTGCATCAATCCAGACTACACTGTAGTGTCTTCAATAATACAGATTTAATTTTAGTCTTCACAGTTTGAACTCAGGAAAGTCGAGGAGACTCAGTGTCCCTTAATGCATGCAGAAGTATAAGCCGCGTGCCGTCAATGGACACAGACGTAACCCTCCTATCAATAACATGCTAAAATGAACTTTAATGTGTTGGAGCATAAGGAATACAAGTCATTTTAGTCAAATTTAATAATTTTTTCCCTTAAGCATGAAGTGTTATGTTATACGGTGATATTATATTACCTAAGAGTTGTTGTTCCATAAGAGTGGCTGTTTAATAAGGTTTCTGTAAATGTAATGGGTACAAATGCATGCGCTTCAAAAACTGCATTCACTTGTCGAGCAGCTCGCCGTCAGCTGGACAAAACTGGTCCACATTATTATTTTTAATATTTCTAAATAACCCAACAGTTCATTTTCAGTTATAGTTTTTCCACTTGGGAAAGTTATTCAGTTTTCTGTTTTGCTTGAAATAATAATTGTATCATATAAATAAAAATATTGACTAATTATTTAAATGTTCAGCAATAAGATCATTGGCAACTTTACAGAAGGTCAACGTTGTGCATGATGCCTCGTCATTTTTTATAACTACTTTATTTCTAAATTACTGTAGAGCAACACTAAAAGCTTAATAATGTATTCTTTTGCCTTAAGTATTTTTGCACCCAATATTTAATGATTTATAATAGACACTGTACTTTGTCAGATGCCACTGATATAATTTAAGAAATTAAGTGTTTATAAAAGCTTGACAACCCCTACTTAGAGAAAGGCCAGATCCTACTTGATATTTGATTTGATAACTGATATATGTGGGTGTTCTGCATGGCTCATGAGTGCAACCACAGTATGCCACTGGTATATTACAAGTACAGTATACATATCTTATCCCTATACAGTACACATACTTACCATACATACACCTTTTCATGGCTTGGAGAAACTTATAAATAATTCATATATTCTAAACTAGCTTTGGCTTTCTCCAGTTGGTGCAAGAAGTCGTAGAACTTGTGCAGCGACATCTCCACATATCTGGGGACAAGATTCTCACTGGCTGTGCGGGAGATAAACTTCACTTGTACAAACGTTCGTCCTGCCTCCCCCTCAGAGCTGCTGCCAGCCACAACTGCCACAATTATGATATGATTTTTATTTGTTGCTCCTAAAAGATTGTGGTCTACAATATATTTACACTATAAACTGTGGTCTACAATTTGTCCAGTACAGTACCTGTACAGTGGTCCCTCGGTTAACGAGCACAATTCGTTCCAGAAGGTTGCTCGTTAACCGAAAAATTCGTTAACCGAAACCATTGTTTCAATGGGTTTTTGGGTAATTGGTTCCAGCTCACCGAAAATTACATACAAACGAAAAATAAATGTAGTAAAGTACACTTACTTTGAAGTGTGCATGTAGAAGGCTCCTGGTTGTTGTTGATGATGATGGGAATTAGAATGGGGGTGGAAGAGAAGTCACCCCATGCTGCCATTTCACCCATAAAATTCTAGTTCACTTGGTGTAATTCAAGATTATTTTCTTTAAATCAACACTGCACTGCGCTATATACTATCAATATGTAAAATATATTTCAAATGACCAATAATTTGACTGGAAACACAGAAAAAAGCATTTATGTTGAAGAGTCTCAAACAGGATGTTCCTTCCTCTGAACCTGTAAACAAACTGACGCCAAGCTTGGTGTGTTGAGTGGCTGTTAGGCGCGCAAACAACTAGTTTCCTGTACTTCAATTATGTTCAATAATTGTTAAAATGACTAAAAAATTGAATATAAAACTTTAAAATGATAGAATAGTACAACCTTCTTGATATTTACTAAAATGGTAATGAATTTAAGCCCTAGAACCGATTACTGTATTGGCGGACTAATACGACAGCTGGTGAGCAAGCGAAAACATGTTGAGGGGCGCTCGTAAGGAATTCGTTAATCGAGGGATTGCTCGTTAACAAAGTGAAGAATCTTATGGAAGGTAATTCGTTAACCAAAATTTCGTTAACCGAGGCGCTCGTTAACCGAGGGATCACTGTACTGTACTGTACTGTACTGTACTATCAACATTTTCTTAGTGATTTAGTATTCTTAAGGTTGGGTTAGGTTTGATTAATTGTGGTACAATAATTACATCCCTGGCGACAAAACAGCTTACCGTAAATTGCGGCGTATAAGTCAACATTTTAAGCTTGAAAAAATCTCTCCAATACCAGAGGTCGACTTATACGCCAAGTATGAAATGTGAAGCTGTACCACAGAGTGGTAAACAAGTGGAACAGCCTGCCTAACACTGCATCACTTAGCGTAACTCCCGTGGCCTGCCGCTAATATTTCCTACTGAAATTTATGTTTGGTAAACTTATTTAACTTAAGATTATAATAAAATAGCAAATTCCAGTATAATTAAACCAACACAACACCATACGCCATTTCCAACAGCTGATGCACAGTAAACAATGGATCAGAACGTCACTAAGCCCAGGCGGCCAGCCAGACAACCACCCGCTACTACAATATGGTGCCATCTGTCCAATATTATGATAGTGCTATAGATTGAGTTCACATACACTACAGAAATAATGAAAAAAACAGTACGGTTATATTTGTGGTGTTGTCAATAGTAAGAGACAGTTGAGACCCTACAATTGTGTTAAATGAGGCAGAAAGATAGATCAGCAGCCTGGGACTTGGTCACAATTTTCGTGATGCCATATGGCAGCAGGGTCTACCATTAGACAACACATTATGCTTCCAATATCTTCCCAGTACCTCCCTGTTTGGTAGCTGCATACCAGGTACCATAGCCAACATCTGCTTACTGCAAGTCGTCGAAATAAAACTAAAACTAATACTTCAACTCACCACCAAATTTCCACTGAAGGTCAACAAGTTGTTCTCTTGGGTTTTCAAGACATTTCCTCAAGGCGACCAGTTCTTGAAGATGATCATACTGAAACACAATTAGAAAATCAAGTTGTTATGGATAAGATTCCTGTACACACCTGATCAATCCCTTTACTTCTGATCTAGCCAGGAGGGGAGTGCTGGGGCGGCTGTGTTGTATCAACAACAAAATCGGGGTATTGTATTATGGAGAACATTTGGGATGGGTTACTGTAAGTTGGTCTGGTCTGGGATGGGCCAGTCTGGGATGGGCCGGTCTGGGATGGGCCGGTCTGGGATGGGCCGGTCTGGGATGGGCCGGTCTGGGATGAGTTAGAGTAAGATGCAGCAACAGTAAGTCACCCACACTGTACAGTACATAATAATAGGAATGGTTTACTCTCACTGGTATTTGATCTTTGTTGAGGTTTTATATTGAAGATGATGCAGTCAACCTAACCTAACCATTTACCATTTTATTCTCTCTGGTAAGATGCAAAAAAATACAAAAAAAGTAAGTAAAAATTTAACTTTGGAGTCTTTGTACTGTGTGTAAATTGAAACATGGGATTAAAAATTGGTTTTCATAAGTTTGGATTTTTTTGTAAACAAGAACTTGGTAAATTGGAGTGTGTGTGTGTCCTTAATGATGAGTGGCTCCAGCACATGGTTTAGCTGCACATACAGAAGGTGCAGCAACAACCTGTCACTTACCCCACTACACCTCTTGTGTACCCACCTACCACACTCACTGTACCCACCTTCCACACTCACACCTACCACACTCACTGTACCCACCTACCACACTCACTGTACCCACCTACCACACTCACTGTACCCAACTACCACACTCACTGTACCCACCTACCACACTCACTGTACCCACCTACCACACTCACTGTACCCACTGACAATTACCAAAGTTTCCATGACGATCTGATAGATAGGACTTATGTATACTTCACCAACAATGCCTCCACCAAAAAAAGGAGAAAACGTGGTCAGCATAATGGGAACAGGCAACAGCAGTGCTATAATGACCCTGAGCTGAAAAAACTCAGGGCTAGGGTCAGGAGGGTGGGTAAGGGTTACAGACAATGTAGAACACCTCAAATGTTACAATTGTATCAAGCTTCCCTTGCTGCTGTCAGGGAACGTGTAAACGAACTCAGACAAAATGCATGGGAGACATATGTCAACAGCCTGAACCAACACACATCCCTCAGCAAAGCCTGGAAAGACATAAACATAATCAGAGGTAAAAACAGAAGACACGTCTCCCATCCAAACCCTCTGCAAAAGTCGAATGAGCTAATAACAAAGTGGGCTCATGTGTCGAGCTATGACATGTTACCAGCTAGGACTCGGGGACTCCTTGATGCGAAGTCTGTAGAGAGAAGTAATCTTATTAGCTTTATGCTGGGCAAACAGCACGATGAGTGTGATGTTCCATATACTGAGTGGGAGCTTGACGCCGCCCTCGCCAGGGGTAGGTCTACTTCCCCTGGAGAGGACGGAGTCACCTACAACATCATTAGACTACTAAGGCGCGTGCCAGGCAATCCATTGTTGGTATTGTACAATATGAGTCATGCCGAGGGCCAACTACCCACATCATGGACCAGCAGTATTGTTGTACCAATACCGAAACCAGGACAGCCTGATGCCTTTCGTCCCATATCACTAACCAGCTGCCTGTGTAAAACCTTTGAGAGGATGGTTCTTGGCAGACTCTTATATAGAATCAGAGAACACATGTCTCCTAACATAAATGGCTTCACCCATGGTAAAGGTGTACATAATTGCATCACCACATTCCTAACTGTGCATGGTGATGAAAGGCACAGATACACCACATTTCTTGACCTAAAAGCTGCATTTGATATTGCCAATAGGCAACTGATATTGTACGAACTAGCCAAAATGGATATAGGAGGTAGGCTGTTACACTGGATAAGTGGTTACCTAACCAACAGAAGGGCTGCTGCACTGTTTCAGGGTTACAAAAGTGAAGTTAAAGATATGCAACTTGGTACCCCTCAAGGTGGAGTACTTAGCCCCACTTTGTTCAATGTTCTTATGAATGCATTATTAAATTTAATACCAGACAACCCCAGCAATATCTCAATCAGCTATGCTGATGATATTCTTATACATACTAAAACTCATCGTGAAATGCAAACCACCCTGAACCATGTATACGCAGCCTGTGAACACCTCGGTCTTATTATCTCCACTGACAAAACTAAGGTGTTCAACAAACAAGCTGGTAACCGCAAACGCGGCCCCGCCAAGTTCAAGATAGGTAACAACACTATTGACTATGTTTCTTCTTTTAAATATCTTGGTGTTTCCGTCCCTTGTACCCTACCTGCCATACAACAGCTAACCCGCCAATGTACTGACAGACTGAGACCTCTTAGAAGTGTAGCGGGGTACAGCCCGCACTATGGTGCTAATATTAGAATTGTTAAAACAATGTACCTAGGCTATATAAGATCTCTGATAGATTACCACGCACCAGCCCTGGTCATTCGTGACGGGAAAGGCGTTGACAAGCTCGAGAAAATGCAAAATAAAGCCCTCAGAATTATCCTAGGATGTCCCATGAGCACTAAAGTACTTAATATGAGGAAAGAACTAGGTATACCCAGTGTTAAAGATAGAATAATTGAAGTCAACCTCATGATAGCCCTGAGGCTTCTGCGTGGTGATCCTGATAACATTGTTTCCTTAAAATTGCTAGAATGTATGAACCATGGGACTACTGAGTCTAAATGGATCCAAACTACAGCTACACATATGAAGATATTTGGACTAGACCACCTGTACAAAGTTGAGACACAACAGCGCTTCCTGCCACCCTGGCGGACAGTTCCCTTCGATATCACAATACCGACGTATCCGCCTAAAAAATTAATTATACAAAGCATTTATCTCCAACACACTGCCAAATTGAGAGCTCTTGAACACATACACACTCTACAGACTGATGATAATATCACACAGACCATCTACACTGATGGATCTCTAAACACCGCCTGTGGGAGGGCTGGAAGTGCTATTGTTGTGACTCAACCTGACGGTAATATAATTGAGAAAGGAGTTAGAATTAACAACTGGGCATCCACTCTACAAACTGAATTAGTTGCCATACTCACAGCTATTAAATTCATTGAAACCACTGTTACTGACAGTCTCATCATCACTGACTCTCTATCCTCACTACTTGCCCTTGGTACCCTCGACTCAGGTTGTCACGATCTTGTCTCTGAAGCCAGACACAAATATGCGTGCCTTGTTGACCGGGGTGTCAGGGTCAAACTGTTGTGGATCCCCTCTCACATAGGCCTCATAAAACATGACAGAGTTGATGCCCTCGCCAAACTCGCGTCTAACAAAGACACCGTTGAATACAATTTGGGTCTGTCAAAAAGAACCCTTAAAACTGTAATTAGGAAAGAACTTATTGATGAGTTTGACGCAAGTAGACAAGTGCAAACAGGCACTAGTCGATCCATAGTTTACCATGATGAGATGTATCAAGTGAAACATGTATATGGAGCAAGTAACAAGATCATTAGATTACAAGATGTTGTAACCGCTAGATTAAGGTTAGGATATAAATACCTTTGGCAGTATGTTCCTCAAGCAGATGTAAACAAAACTAAATGTAAAGTGTGTGGCCATACATATGGCCACACACTTGAACACTACGTCCTCGACTGTGTGAAGATAGAACCTTTTAGGGACAGGTCCAAGCACACTGTGTGTGAAATGGCACAACACTTCATCTCTAATGGCAAGATAGCCGACATATTAAGATTGTATCCACTTTTTTGCACCTAGTAACTATATCAGTTCTCATGCACAGAACCAAATACGCAATGTGCTTGAATACCTCCCACGTAAATGTGAATAACAAAGTGTGAGGCCAGACATACTGCCTCACACGCCTGTTCTCACGCATTTGTGAATAAGTTACCCTTTATGTATAGAACTAAACAAATAATGTAAATGAAATACTGTGTAACTTTCAGTGCCATAATATCCTGACAACCGGGGTTAATTATTATGACCCTTTGTAAACCCTACTCTGTAATCCTTTTGCGCTACCGCTCACAGGATGAGTGTGGGGTGCACAATAAAGTAGCCGCTGCAAGCGGCAAAATAAAAAAAAAATCAATGTACCCACCTACCACACTCACACCTACCACACTCACTGTACCCACCTTCCACACATTATACAGATGCTGCCAACACCTTCCACACGTTGCCACTCTCCACCACAGGTCCCTCACTAATCAGTACTGTTCTTTTCACCACATTCACTCTCAGGACCTTTGAGTCTATTCCATCCTTCTGTTTCTTAAATTTCTCCACTGCCTCTACAATACTATCAGCACTACAACAACTGACCAGTCCCATCATATTGCCTCCAGCACCATGATAAACAGAAGGGGGCTCAAGACACACCCCTGATGAACCCCGACTTTAACCTCACGTGCCTCACCATTTACTCTCACAGTATTTGTCATAACCAATCAAACAAGACATTCTTCGACCTCTAATTTGATCATGACCCGCTGCATTACCTAATGTGGTACCCTGTCAAATACCATCGACCAATTGGATACCGACAACTTGAGAGTACAGTATTGTTATTTTTTTATTTACTTTTTATTGTTGTTCTACATACAATCTGTGGTGTAATGGTCAGCTGCTCGCCCCATAAGTGTGTACAGTGAACACTACCCATAACAACCTGTGAGGAACACACCTGTGACACAAAGAGATTAGCCCTGTCTCTCTGAAGCCCTGAGGAGGTGAGGAGAGACACGAGGTCCTCGCCTGATACAGTGTCGCTGATGACAGACTCCAGAATGCCACACAGCATCTCCACGTGTAACTCCTGTTGATGAAACAAGTCTAAAATCAAGACAACACAAGTTATAAAATAATTACAGAAGGCACAACACAAGTTATACAATAATTACAGAAGGCACAACACAAGTTATACAATAATTACAGAAGGCACAACACAAGTTATACAATAATTACAGAAGGCACAACACAAGTTATACAATAATTACAGAAGGCACAACACAAGTTATACAATAATTACAGAAGGCACAACACAAGTTATACAATAATTACAGAAGGCACAACACAAGTTATACAATAATTACAGAAGGCACAACACAAGTTATACAATAATTACAGAAGGCACAACACAAGTTATACAATAATTACAGAAGGCACAACACAAATTATACAATAATTACAGAAGGCACAACACAAGTTATACAATAATTACAGAAGGCACAACACAAGTTATACAATAATTACAGAAGGCACAACACAAGTTATACAATAATTACAGAAGGCACAACACAAGTTATACAATAATTACAGAAGGCACAACACAAGTTATACAATAATTACAGAAGGCACAACACAAGTTATACAATAATTACAGAAGGCACAACACAAGTTATACAATAATTACAGAAGGCACAACACAAGTTATACAATAATTACAGAAGGCACAACACAAGTTATACAATAATTACAGAAGGCACAACACAAGTTATACAATAATTACAGAAGGCACAACACAAGTTATACAATAATTACAGAAGGCACAACACAAGTTATACAATAATTACAGAAGGCACAACACAAGTTATACAATAATTACAGAAGGCACAACACAAGTTATAAAATAATTACAGAAGGCACAACACAAGTTATACAATAATTACAGAAGGCACAACACAAGTTATACAATAATTACAGAAGGCACAACACAAGTTATACAATAATTACAGAAGGCACAACACAAGTTATACAATAATTACAGAAGGCACAACACAAGTTATACAATAATTACAGAAGGCACAACACAAGTTATACAATAATTACAGAAGGCACAACACAAGTTATACAATAATTACAGAAGGCACAACACAAGTTATAAAATAATTACAGAAGGCACAACACAAGTTATACAATAATTACAGAAGGCACAACACAAGTTATACAATAATTACAGAAGGCACAACACAAGTTATAAAATAATTACAGAAGACCCAACACAAGTTATACAATAATTACAGAAGGCACAACACAAGAGTGTCATGAGATAAACAAGTACTGTATCCAACTGGAGTGATGAACATGAAGATCTGAGCACTGGCCATTCTTCAGGGATGTGAATACTGTACTGTACTGCAATCAGAGAAACACTTGGATCTTCTTGTTTCCATTTACCAGGAGTAACTTACAAGTGGAATAATATTACCATCACCAGTTACATATACAAAAACTTCCTTGTAATGAATGACAAATTTAGTGGCAGCCATGTACAGTATTCTTTGGCATTATTACCTGATGTACTGTACTGTACTGTACAGAATGCCCTTAAAATCCGCGGACCTCGATTATTTACGGATGACACCCTGGATGTACCCAAGAAAGTCTGTAGGTAGTTTTAAATTTGCCAGCATATTTGCAGCCGGGACATGGAGCCATTTGTTCTAGAAAAAGCAATTTCTTTTACCTGTATTGTATTTGTACAGTATATAAGTGTGTGTGTGTGTCTACACACACACATATACAATAGTTTAGGTAAAAAAAATAATTGTCCTAATGTAACGACCACGGTCATACACGTCAGTTAGCGCCAAAATCAAATGATTCATATTATGCTCAATAGCCCACAAAACATGTAACTCTGCTTTCGTTTGAGTCCTCCATCTGAGGAGACCGTTTTCTCATCACTTCAAGACACCTCAGTCCTCCGTTATCCCATTTTCTCTGACTTACTGAAACCAACCTCTCTATAACATGAATTTGAATGTGAGAGAGAACACCCTTGTTTTGAATCAACTTAGATATATCTGTTTACAGCTGGAACATTCAAGATCCACTGTGAGTGGTGTTGAACGCTTCAACTGTCCTTATTGTTAGTAAGACGTGTCAAGTAAGCGAGTGTCGAGTTTGCCAGCTAGAGTGGCGTATTTTATGTCGTCCGTGGGGATACCCAGGAGTTTCTGATCGCTACTGAAGTTACAGTTTTACCCCGCCTAACGCGGTTTCACTTAACGCGTTTTCGCATATACGCGGTGCCTTGCCAAAGCTGAACTTTCACTTAACGCGGATTTTTTCCACATATAGGCGGTGAGTGTCCGAGACGCTATTTTTAGATTTGCCCCACCCGCCACCCTGCCTGACTGCCTGTTTTAGCTCATAAAATTCATACAAATTACCAGGCCAGAATATAATTTACATTGCTGGAATTCTTATAATTTGGTGATCATTTTGAATATAAACATCATATATTTTGCTTTAAACTTACAATTTTTAGATAAAAATTTTTCTCTAGGTAACTATGGTATCTTTTGTCCAAAATATATGACATTTATATTCAAAATATTCCTGGTCTTACAAGGAATCCAGCAATGTCAATTATATTATCCTAACTTTAGTTTGAGGTATTATTTATTAAAATTTAGTGGTTATCCCACACATCTCCTTGGGACGGTTGGTGGGGGGTGGGGGGGAGGGAGGGACCAACCGACCATCTGTTACCCTGTGAAGAATTATTATTTTTTTTTATTAACTGAAGATATTTGTTTTAGCTCATAAAATTCATACAAATTACCCGGTCAGAATATAATTTACATTGCTGGAATTCTTATAATTTGGTGATCATTTTGAATATAAACATCATATATTTTGCTTTAAACTTACAATTTTTAGATAAAAATTTTTCTCTAGGTAACTATGGTATCTTTTGTCCAAAATATATGACATTTATATTCAAAATATTCCTGGTCTTACAAGGAATCCAGCAATGTCAATTATATTATCCTAACTTTAATCTGAGGTATTATTTAATACTAAATGTTAAAAACTCTGGAAGGGAGGATTGGTGGGGGGTGGGGGGGAGGGTTGGGACTGACCGCGCGGTTGGAAGAGGGGGGGAGGCAAGGTGGGGTACTTTGATTGACAGATAGTGTCGTGAAGATTATTTTTTTTTTATTAACTGAAGATATTTGTTTTAGCTCATAAAATTCATACAAATTACCCGGTCAGAATATAATTTACATTGCTGGAATTCTTATAATTTGGTGATCATTTTGAATATAAACATCATATATTTTGCTTTAAACTTACAATTTTTAGATAAAATTTTTTCTCTAGGTAACTATGTTATCTTTTGTCCAAAATATATGACATTTATATTCAAAATATTCCTGGTCTTACAAGGAATCCAGCAATGTCAATTATATTTTCCTAACTTTAGTTTGAGGTTATCCCACACATCTCCTTGGGACGGTTGGTGGGGGGTGGGGGGGGGAGGGAGGGACCGACCGACCATCTGTTAGCCGGCTGTGTAGTGTGAGAGGGGGAGGGAGTTGAGTCCATTATTTGAATGGACATTAACTTGGCGACTGTATTTCTCTATTTCTCTTAAGTATTAATTGTGTGCATGTACCATCATAAAATTAAGATGTTATTTTTACTACAACATAGGTATGTGCCTTCAAAAAGTGGAGTTTGGGGGTCGGGCCGGTTTCTATTGGAATTAATCCCATATGTTCTGTTGTTCACTTAACGCGGATTTCACTTAACGCGGGACCCTCTGGGTTCAATTGACCGCGTTAAGTGGGGTACAACTGTATATCATTTTGTCGCCCCGACATCAGAGAATCTGGTGTTTATAGTTTAGTTCGTATCAGTTGTCTATTTAAGAAAGTCATTAATCTCCTGAACAGTTCCTGTCAAACTCAAAATTCTCCAAGACTTAACGACCGTTTGACCTGGGATGTGGTCTGCGGTCAGGCCAGTAGAGTTGTTAGTGCATATATAACTCCATTTCACCTCTTTACTGACAAACTCAATCTCTGATTAGATCATGAATATAGATGGAGAAAATTAGCCTGATCTGTGACACTGACCGTCACAGCTAGGTGTCCAACGATTACTTTGAATAGAGGGCCTATTGTTAGTGAAATTAGTCTTTCTAGAAGGGATATGCCCTCAGGCCCGTATATATGCCGGCGCGCGAGGAAAAATCACTCCCTCTGTAATTTCTCCTCCACGTCCCAGGTATGTTCACGTGTGTTCCACGCCGCCACATTAACTCAGTTTAACTTAGTCAATTTTGTGAATATCAGTGTTCATGTTTTAACATAGTACCTTCCGTGCCAATTGAGTCGAGTAACGTAGAGATCTAGCTATCGTCTGAACCGGTGCCAGACGTATGTTTTGTATAGGTTAAATATTCACTCTCTCTGTGATTTCTCCTCCACGTCTCCAGACGCTGTTGAGGGGGTTAGCAACACTCCTGAGGTTCGGGAGCCGCCTATGGGCACGATGTCTCTCAAAGGATGTCTTTAAGGTGGCGAGATTAGAATCCCAGGGCGAGATTCCTTAGCAGACGCCACGGCCCACCGCCACGAGTCAACCTTTCCCGAGCCAGGCGCTCCGAGCGAGCCTGTAAACAACTTTGGTCCACTGACTCCGTCGTATGATCATGGTCTATCTACTGTTCTTGGTTATATGTATGGAGCCGTATTAATATCCATGCTTGGGGATGACTAGCAGAAATATAGTATCCCAGGTTAAGTATTGAACCACTGAAAGAGTTAAAAGTGCCATGTTGTTCCTTGCGAACTAACCGTAGGTATTGTATGTTGCTATCATTGTGGAATTGTCCAGTGTGTTATGTATTTATCGGTAATGAACATGTAACAATAACCTGAGAGTATAATGTTAAAACCAAGAATTGAAGAGGTAATTGGTTACTTGTAAAAGTAAGACCTGAGGGTCCAGTGATATCTTGTGTATAATAATTACTTAATCTCATTTGTCATGGTAATAATACCACAATTGTCTAATGAAGTAATAAGTATTTGGAGGTGTTTAATGAGGTAATAAGTTCTTGAAGTGTTTGATGACTTGAAAAGTTAATTGCGGTTCTGTTTTGTCTGGGTGAATCTAAGATGCATCTTCTCCACTCACTGTGTTAATAAATATTGAGTTAGTAAACTACGAGTATCACCACTCTACTCCTTCTAAACATTGGTTCCCAGAAAATAATACTTACTCACGTGCCTATACATCTACCACACTACCCACAAACTTTCCATGAGTTATGTTATATCATGAAAAGTCTGGGTGGTGGCAGTTACCCTTTGTAAGTATAATAAGTGTTGTACTAAGAATAACATGGTTCCCCAGACTAACCCATGTATAAGAATAGACGTAAAACAGAGTATACTTCAGAAAGGTAAGAACATTGAAACTGAGTAAATATAATATATATGAAAGAAATGAAAGACTTGGAAAGTACAAGAAAAGAAAGATAAGACATGTATGTACATTGTGGAACTAACAACACAGCATAGAAATTATTAAATAAATGCATCATGAAAGTTTAATATAGAGAACATAGATAACTGAGAAGAGAATTACTTGTATAAGAATAGAAAGTATATTTATAAACAAAGAATTGAAGAATAATAACAGAAAAGAATATCAGGATGGGAAATTATAAAATGAGAAGAACTCGGCCCGTTACACTAAGGCCAAACATAAAGGCTTTATACATTTCTTTGTACACAAGTAAAAATGACCCCCCCCACAGTCAGCAAATGTTATTCACAGATTTGGTGATTCACGGCCATTTTGAGAACCTAACCCCCACGAATTTTAAGGGCCTACTGTACTGTACTTGAAGAATGAGCCACACACCTGCAGGCTGCATTTCTCAACACTAATTACCTCAAAAGGCTGACCAAAACACAACTGTACTGACATACAAGCTATTCAGTGCCCCTCAGTGTAGACTATATCCTCACCACATCATCCCTGGTGTTTGTCACAACATAGTAAGGGGCACATCTGTCACTCTGTTTTCTTTGGTTGGCCACACGTTGTAGACTTGCGTCCCAAACAACCAGGAAACTCTGAAATAATGGAGAGGTGATGATAATGATGATTGGAATTTGTTTATAAAGTACAGATGCAAAAAATAGTATACCCTGTACAGGGCCCCCCAAATTCGTGGGGGTTAGGTTCTCAAAATGGCCGTGAATCACCAAATCTATGAATAACATTTGCTGATTGAACATTTTTACTTGTGTACAAAGAAATGTATATAGCCTTTATGTTTGGCCTTTGGACAATTATTTCTTTTACCTAAACTATTGTACAGTTAACCCTCACTTTACGCGGTCCCGCATTCTGCGTTTCCACGTTTACGCGGTGCCTTGCCAGAACCTCACGTGCTCACATTACGCGGTACGTGAACCTCATTACGCGGAGAGTGTCCGGCGCGACGCTATTTTTAGATTCGCCCCACCCGCCACCTGCCCGCCTGTGCTCCTCGCCTCTCCCTCCTCCTCCCTCCGCTTGGGCAAGCGGCGTGGTAAGGTTGCGCAGTGTGTGTCTTTGTTGCGTTATCACTGACGTCATATGACGTATCAGACCTGTGATTGGCCATGCATCCCTACCCCCCTCAGCTGCTAGCTGTAATTGGCTTAAAGTATTATGACGTGTCCACCCGGGGGAGGGAGGGAGGGAGGGAGGAAAGACGACGCTTGACCTAGCCGCGGCAGTTTCATCCCTCAAGGCCACACCGTGTAAACGCGCATCCATTGTTCCGTAAAATGGCTTCCGCCGGACCACCACCCCCAGGGAGAAACCTTTCCTTACCTGGACCCAGCGGCACTAAGCCAAAGAAGACACGACGTTCCTTAAGCTACGAGGTGAAGTATACCATCATCCAAGAGTTGGAGAAAGGAACAAGGCAGGTTGATTTGGCGCGCCAGCATGGTGTGAATGAATCTACGATTCGAACAATAAAGAAGGATGCAGCCAAGATAAAGGAGCACATGAAGATCACAAAGTCTACAGGTGCTTCTATGATCAAGTATTTTCACAACCAGGTGCTTCTCAAGACAGAGAAATTACTTGTGAGGTACTTGGTGCGTCAGGCGCGACGGAACATGGCGGTCGACACGCGCTCTGTTAAGGACTACGCACGTGAACTGTACATTGCAGTGGCACGAAAGATGGGAATTACAGAGCCCAAACCCTTTAATGCTTCCTCTGGGTGGTTACAGAGGTTTAAGATCCGGAACAAGATCACCAATATAAACATTGGTGGTGAAGAAGCGAGTGCTGACCGTGCTGCGGCTCGGGAATTTCCTCCGTTTTTACGTGAGATTATGGAGGAAGGACAGTACAGTGACGACCAGGTGTTTAACATGGACGAATCTGGTCTTTTCTGGAAAAAGCTACCTTCCAAGACCTTCGCTGTGAAGAATGCCAGCAAGTGTCGGGGCCGGAAGTTGCAGAAGGAACGCATCACCGTCCTGTTTACCACCAATGCCTCCGGTACCTGTAAGCTCAAGTTATCGGTGATCCACACAGCACGTAAGCCGCATGCCTACAAAACCATGGACATGACCAAGCTAAATGTCCACTGGCTGACCGCACGTAAGGCGTGGATGTTCTCTACACTGTCCCTCTCCTGGTTTGATGACTGTTTTGTTCCCGATGTAAAAAAATTCTGTGAGCGACAGAATGTGCCATTCAATATTTTGTTGCTGCTGGACAACGCACCAGGACACTCGCCCCTACTGTTAGATCGTCACCCCAACGTAAAAGTGGTCTTCCTTCCTCCCAACACTACGTCTATATTACAGCCCATGGACCAAGAGTTAATCTGTAATGTAAAAGCTGCATTCTCAACAAAAAAATTCCAGCTCCTGAACGACTACACCAACACCAGGGAAGAGTTGCGTAACCTGAGTGACACCACCACCGATAGCAAGAGCGAAGAAGATGAGGATCAACAGTTGGAACAGCAAAAAATACTGTTCAAACAATTCTGGAGAGTATTTAACATCAAGAAAGCTGTGGACTTCTTGGTGGAGTCATGGGATCAGCTGTCTATTGCTACAATTCGTCACGCATGGAGACATGTGTTGCATGGAATACCAGGTGAGAGGAGGAGTCAATCTGTGACTGGTGAGTTTCAGAATGTTGCAGTAGCAGTGGACCTTGCCAGAGAAGCTGCGCAGACTGTTACAGTACCAGGCTTCTCCGAGACCACCAACGACGACATCCTGGAGGTGATCAGAGATCCTGAAGTGACTGCCGAAGAGATGTTGGAAGAAGATCACGTCAGTGAAGAGGAGGAAGAAGGTGCGTCATTCTCCGAAGAACACAGTTTAACTCATAGTGATATTAAGGGTGCCATGGAGTGTGCAGAGAAAATGAAGTCCTTCCTTTCCCGCAACAATGACGATGACCGCTATGAAGTCTTCCATACCCGGCTGGTGCAGGCTATGGAGCCCTACATCAAGGTGTATCACGACAACATCAACACCAGCCGTCAGCAAAGCATAACAGATTTCTTCGCCCGCAACCCACCACAGCCAGCCCAAGCCAGTGATAGTGACAGTGAAGATGACTTTGAGGGATTTGTCAGGGAAGCCCTGACAACTGTAAGTGACAGTGATGATGATTCACCTAGTAATGGTGATTCACCCGAGGGCCAGTAATCTGCCCTCTGCCTCGGAACCAGCCTCCATCCCCGTATGCCGACCCATCTCTTCTACTACCGTAAGTGTTCCACCTAACTTTTAGTTTTTCTAACCTAACCTTTATTTTTCCTATGTTAACCTCTATTTTTCCTAACCTAACCTCTTTTATATTACTTGTTTTTTCATACCATCATAAAATTTTTACTACAACATAGTTGTGTGTCGTCAAAAAGTGGAGTTTGGGGATCGGCCCGGACTCCATTTCAATTAATCCCATATGTTATGTTATTCACTTTACGCGTTTCTCACTTTACACGGGACCCTCCGGGTTACATTAACCGCGTAAAGCGAGGGTTAACTGTATATATGTGTGTGTGTGTGTGTGTGTGTGTGTGTAGACACACACACAAAACACATATAAATAAATAATAATTGGAAAATCCTTTCACACATAATCAGAAACAAATTCATAAAAAATATGACAGTCTACCCTCAAGTCCGTGCTATATTAATAAAGTTCTGTAATAGAGAACGGACTTGAGGGTAGACTGATATATTTTTAATGAATTTGTTTCTGATTATTTGTGAAAGGATTTTCCCATCATATACAGTGGGGTATGCTATAACGAACGTAATTGGTTCCAGAACCTCGTTCGTTATAGCATTCGTTCGTTATAGGATTAATCCGTTCCAGGCCCCCAAATACAACCACTTAACACTGGAAAAATCCTGTGGAAAATGTAAAAAATACGGTACTTTATCTTACCCTAGTGTTATTCAGCATGCAGGTACCCCTAAACACTGGCACATCACTATCACTTCCACTGGGAGTCTTGGCTTTAAGGTCCTCAAACAATTGTCTGGCCTTCTCACAAATTATAGCTTCACTAATGTTACCACCTGCCATTTCTTTCTCCTTTATCCACACTAAGAGTAAATTTTCCATCTCTTCAATCACATTACACGTTGCTTTACTAAGTCTAAAGATTCCCTTAGCCACTTGCACAGTTTTTAACTCCTCTTTATTCTTCAAAATCGTACATATAGTCAATTTAGCCATCCCATACTCATCACTAAGTTTCGCAATGCTTCTTCCATTCTCACGTTTCTTTATAATTTCTTTCTTAGTTTCAAGGGTTATTAGCTTTCTCACTCGCTTTGGACGACTCATTGTTACAACTGTATACTTGTATAACAAAATAGTTATACAAATAACGCGAATTTCCACATCAAAAGACGAAATTTCAACAATAACAGTGGTGCACTGGCTACACAATGAGACAAAGATGGCGCCTGACGCTCTTGTTGTGGGTCGCGGTACAACAATATTCATGCGCCAGGCGAAATAGTCCCGTATTCATCCGCGTTCGTTGTAGGAGTTGCGTTCGTTATAGCATTCTCAATTTTATAAGTAAAACCGTTCGTTATAGGAATATTCGTAGTAGGATCCGTTCGTTATAGCATACCCCACTGTATACTGTACAGGTAAAGGAAATTACTGTCTCTAGAACGAATGGCTCCCTGTCCCAGCCGTGAAAGTACCGGCAACTTTAAAACTACCCACAGACATTCTTGGGTACATCCAGGGTGTCATCAGCGGATAATAGAAGACAGCGGAGTAAAAATCCGCGAACTTGGAGGGCCCCGGTAGTGCAAAAATGAAGGTAAATAAAATAATTCGATGGCTACAGTATGATAAATCTTGATTAAAATATAATAATTCATGGTCACAATAGTGGTCCCTAGTTTGTCGCGGGGGTTACGTTCCTGATATCACCACAAAAGAACAAAACCATGATTGTTCTTTTGGGTATTTTCACTTGTCCTGTTCAGTGATATTTAGTATTATAACCATTAAACTTTGACTAGTATAGCCCTAATGAACTCTCTCTCTCATATATCATTAAACAACGTGTAAAGGCAACATAATAAAGACACAAATAAAAATTGCATTTGTTCTATATAATACAAGACAAATGTGTGATGACTCTGTCCCCTCCTCACTCTACCACCACTTGCTCCAACTGGGCACCAGGAGAAGAAACTGCTTCACCAAGCTACTTGACCCCAGTGACCACCGACTCAGAACCAGTTTCCCATCTGACTATGAGACCGGGGTATCGAGGCGAGTGTCTATGCCCGGTAAGCGAGTCTCTTCTCTGCGGCCTACAGTGTTCCTCTTCTCCCGGGGTGTGGACGACGGATTGTATTAAGGACTACCGGTGGTGATGGTAGTGTACTACGGCGGTAATCCCCGGTTCATCGTGGTTGGCCATCACAACCTAGACTTGCTACCTGAGCTGCCAGTTCTATCAGTATGTGTATTTAATGTTTAAAGTAAGAATAATTTAATAAATGTCTGGTGAGTTTTGACAAATACCTACATAGTTGTGTGACTTTTGTTTTGATAATTG